TGCTGGGAGTCTACGACACACCTGACATAATGGCCACGCCACGGGCGGCCTCCCACGCTGTCATCTCCTTTCTCGGGCTCCCAAGAGCAGGGTTACAAAGGGACTGGTGGGCCGGCTGGGGTACATTGGCATGGCTCCATCAGTGGTCAATGGAATTAGGCTGATTTATTACAGCTGTGGAGCTGGTCCAGCGAGTGAAACAAAGTTTGGTTTACCCCACACAGGCTGTGGAAGGGTTAATATGGGCTTGAGAAGCCAATTAACCAGGCTGGGGGCACCAGGAGGCGGCGCCAGGGCTGATTAGGGATAAAGCCCAGCTGGAGGGGAGCTGGGGTTGTTTTTTTGCTGGGGTTTTGTTTTTCCTCATGAAGCGCTGGGGCCTGGGAGTGCCCCGCTGGAGAGAGGCGACCCAGAGGAAAGGAGAGGGGGTGTTCCCTTTCTCTGAAGCAGCTACTCCAGGGGTGAGCTGGAAGCCTGACTGGAGACCAGGGTCTTAAGGAACTGGAACCTGCCTGAAGCCCTGAGTGAGGAGAGGAGTTTGCCAGCCCAGACAGTGAGGTTGTTGAATGCCCAGGAGCCTGGACAAGTCATAGGGGCAAACGGTAGAGGATGAGACGTACTTGTGAGGCCAGCTGAGCCCAGCCGGGCGGAAGGTTTGTTTTGTTTACATTTCTGCAGGACTTTAGTAAAGGATAATAAGGGACTAGACTCTGTAAAGTGGTCAGGCTGAAGATTAGGACCCTCTTCTGGCTGGAGTAGGCTTGAGCATTGGCCTGCTAAACCCAGGGTTGTGAGTTCAATCCTTGAGGGGGCCACTTAAGGATCTGGGGCAAAATCAGTACATGGTCCTGATAGTGAAGGCAGGGGGCTGGACTCGATGACCTTTCAAGGTCCCTTCCAGTTCTAGGAGATAAGAGGGGAGGGGGAACTGAGGCAAGAAGTGGTGCAATTCCATACTCAGCCAGGAGGGGGCGGGTTGGGGGAGCAGTTTTGCCACTAGCCTCTTTACGATTTGATCAGCATTTCCTAATTTGCCTATCCAGGCACCAAGGTGCTATGGTGGGAGGTGCACAGACAGACTGGTTAGAGTGCTAGGCCAGCTGTGCTCGAGAGGTGGACCCTCTTCATAGCAACCTGCTGGATGTCACTTACCCTGATCCCCAGGGCTCCGGCTGCCCGAGGAGGATCTCAGGACAGAGCTGGTCTCTGGCTGACCCAGGCACCTGCCTGGAGCCATGTGCTGGAGACCATCCTGTGGCTGGGGAGTGTCCGCGTCCTGACAAAACGACAGGCAGCTCTGGTGCAGCAGAGAGGGCCTCCTGGCGCCGGTGCCTCGTATCCGTGTGGTGGCGACGTAGGGGCTGGCGGTGAAAGGCTGTGAACAGGGAAAGGTCAGAGTGGGATAGACGGGCATGGACAATGGGTGGGGGTCTTGTTAGGAAAGACACGGGCACAGCAACTGTTAGCGGGGGGCGTATGACGATAGACCACTGGAAAGAAGAGGTTTGTGTAGGGAACGGATGGATTGATAGGAAGGCGAGATCCTACCACCTACCCACCTGGGTTTGACCCATTCCCTTCTTGACCCAGCTCTCTGATTGGCTCGTCAGACATGCAAAACGCTGACATGTGAAACGGCATCTGTTTACTGAACACAAGCGTTTCACCACCACCACCCCGCAAAGGTCCCCTGATAACCAGCTGGGATTTATTTCTCAGTGCGTGCCCCAAGTGCATTCCCTTGGGGGCTGGAACGAGTCATCGAGGGAGCACCTTCCCCTGACCAGTGGGAGGATAAATGTGAATTTCCTCAATCTGGCTCTTTTAATTACTTCACATGGCAACTAAGAGAAAGACGAAATAGGCAGGCCGGGGCCCAGCTACTTAGTTACGAAGGGAAAACTGAGCGGCGTTCCTCCTCCTTAAAATAGTCCCTTGGGGGTGGGCAGAAAGGGAGAGAAACAGATCCCTGTGTCAGCGACTCTGCTAAGCCTGAAGGCTTGTCTGCAGCGCTTCAGTGTAGACTCTACTAGGTGCTCCACCTCCCCGAGAGGCAGTAGCTAGGTCGACCTAGCGCTGTCTACACTGGGGGCTAAGTCGGCTTAACTATGCCCCTCTGGGGGAGGGGGATTTTTCACGCCTCAGAGCAACATAGGTAAGCCGACTTAATTTTCTAGTGCAGAGCAGGCCTTAGGCGACAGCATTCATACCTTTGTCCAGCATCTCTAAGGCTGGTCTCTGTACGGGCACTCCGTTTCTGGGAGCAAGACAGACAGAAATCCTAGTGTTGCAGAAAGATGCCCTGAAGGCCGATATCCTCTGATTCCTCGCAGACCGAGCTCCGCACAGCAGTGGCAAGCTTTGCCCTGGCCTCCGGTGCAAATACCTCTGCCCTGACCCGGTGGGGCCCTCTCGAGGGGTTGGGTGGGGCGTTCTGTTTCCATAACCCAGTCAACCCTTGGCCTCTCTTCTACAACTGCCCACAGGAATGGAGGGGAGTGAGGGCAGAGCAGTTTGGACGGTGGATTTTGGATGATGGGCCCGTCTCCTGTGGATTGGGTGGAGATCACCAAACTCATTTCCAGCTCCCCACAGCTCCTCGATTGTCCAGAGCCCGCTCTGTCTGGGGCGGAGGGAATTCCCTTTCCCCCCGCACTGGGCCTTTTGAGTCCCTGCCCACTGCTTGCTTCTTTCCCATCAAAATCCCTCTAGTACTGCCCCAGCCCTTGGAGGAGGGCTTACTGACTTGTCTAAGCCATGCCAGCCCCATGTAGGGAGACCTGTGACGAAGGGACACTCCCTCCCCCTTGTTCTCCGCTGAGTTTGGCTTCTCCTGATTCCTGAAAATGCCCCTAAGGTGGTAGAACCTAAGCAAGGAGGCATCTGCTGTGAGCTCAGTGGGAAGTCTCTCTCTGGAAGCTACTGCCGGCACGTTTCCACTCGCTCTTCCCCTCCTGAGCCTCTCTCCTTGGAGATCAGGGAAGCGTCTGGGAGTTTAAACCATCCATCCTGATGTGCTGACCTTTCCTTTCCAGTTGTGGTGTGGGCATGGGGGGGAAGGGAGAAGAACTCTGCGTTCACATCTCTGAAAATGTCAAGCTGCCCCCCCACACCCACAGTGTGAGAGATGGCGCAGAACAAGGCAGCAATTAAAACCAAGCAGAACACACATGTCTAACCCCTGGCTGCGTTCTGACGAGGGACGATTTCTCCTTGTGGTCTGCTGAACACCATCATCCGCCACAATGCACAGAGACTGGGGCCTGGCCGACCCTAACGGTGCAGACACAAATACCTCACCAGCCCTACAGCACAGAAGGAATGAAGCATCCACCCTGGCATGTCTGTAATTAACCATCCCTTAGAAACGCCTGGACTTAGTGATGTTCCATGTCCCAGTCTCCTTCTACCCCTGAGGCTGAGAGAATAATTCCTCTCCCGTGTTCTACTCATCTGTTCCCTCCACTCTCTTACTGTCTCTCCATCGCCCCGTTTTTCCTTCCCTCGGCCCCCCTCCCTTCCCTGCCAATCTCTGTAACCTGTGGCAGAGAAGACACAGATCGAAGACCTCAGATACCCTGTTCGGGGTTGTCATGGGAACAGGGATGCAGCAGCAGCTGTTCTTGCTCTGGTCTGCCCAGGCTTGTTGCAGACACTGATTTTGAAGGAGACCATCTCAGGCATGTCAAACACCGGCGCGAGCCATTCCAGCCCTTTGCCTGAAAATCGTCATGGGGACTGAATGCCTCTGATTCGCCACGGAAATCACCCTTTCAGCTAACCTCACCTTTTCATTTCAGTTTATCATGACCTCAGAAGGGAAGCGATCGGCCTTCTTGTGGGCTCAACCTCGGACCCTTCCCTCTCAGCATTCCCAGCATATGCCTGGCCTTCTCTTGTAAAAAGTCACTATCCCTGGAGCATGGGTGGCCCTAGGGGCCCACAAGCACTAGGAAGGTGTTCCAGCTGGCACAAGGTAGAGCAGCTTGGAGGCTGCTCTAGCTTGCACCAGGGGCTGAATTAGCTTCCAGCTGTCTCTGGGATGGTGGGGGAGCAAAAACGTGTCAAAGCCACCTCTGTCCCCTGCCTCAGCTGCAATGGATGGAGTTCAGGCACATCTGAATCTCTCTGGCCCAATGGAGTGCAGAGAGGGAATACACCAGGGAATGAATTGGCCCACGGTTGTTAAGGTGTGGGAGTGAGCAGAATGACTGGGACGTTGATGCAAACTCATTCTGGGGATAATGTCGCCTGTTGTGTCCAGGTGAAAAGAAAGAGCTGTGAATTAAAGCAATTTAAATGGGGCAGACTTTTCCTCTCCAGCTCCTTTTGTACCCTATCTTTCATCGCCTTGGACCCGGCGTTGTATTAACAGGGGATTTGCATCAAGATTAACTTTGTGTTCTGCTGTGAGGCACGCAGGCACTGCTACAGCTCCAAAGGGTTTATATCGTTTGGCCAAACTCTAGTGAAATATGAACCCAAGAAGAATTAAAAGGTATAACTAGGATCAAACAAAGAACAAAACGGAGCTCAGACGCGCTGATGAAGGAGACGGTAGAGATGCCGACAAAACACACGAGCCCAGGCTATGAAAAGAAGTGGTGGACCTGTTGTGAGCCCCCCGCTGGAAAGCTGGACCTGCTGGGCTTCATTTCTGGCAGCAAAGTTTTCTTCTTGGCACCACGTTGCAGCACAAAACGCGCATGCGCGCACAAGCAAGCCCCAGATCTGAGCCCCTAGAACCTGGGCGCTTTGCCTGCCGCTGCAAGGCTGCCCCGACACCTGATTCTACGGGCGTAGTCACCTGAGTGTGTTTTTAAGGTGGGCAGGAGAGCATAGCGGTTGGTTTGGCGACAGGGCCTTGGGAGAGGAGGCACTGGACGAGGCACACTGAAGAGCATCCTACACCCTAGAGGTTGCACTGGGGCCTGGGAGCAATACTGGAAGCCGCAGTTCTGGCGTGGTGTCATGCAGGAGATGAGAGGGAGGAGGAGACGGCGAAGCCGCAGCATTGGAAAGGCAGGAGAGCAGCCTGGAAAGCAGCCACTGGGGTCTGGAAGCTGGAATCCTCCACCGGGGGCCAGATTTTCAGGAGAGCCCAGGGCCAGATGTTTCGTTGCTCCGCACTCGCACCTGGGGCCAGATTTTCAGGAGAGCTCTGCTCCTTCCACTCACCGCGCTGAGATCATTCAAAAACCGGGCTACTGGTTCCCAGCCGAGCTAAGTGCATTTGAAAGCCTGGCCCTATGTGGCCACAGTACAGGGAGGCCAGAGTGTCCAGGGGAACTGAGGGTACAGGGCGGGTGAGAAGGGTAGGAAAGGCTCTTACCCTGCAGTTTCTGTGCTGGAGACTGGGGCTGGGGAGTCACATGTAACTCCTGGATCGCCAGGCTCCAGTGCAAGAAAATGGCACCTCGGGCAGGAGCTACGCTGTGTAACAGGACCTCGGGGCAGTGACACTGCCATGTGCTCCTGAAAGAGCCCCTCCGAGCTAGGAAGCAGGGCCCAGGCTGCACTGGCATAAGAGGGGCAGCAGTGCGAGGTTACCCTGGCGAGGCCCCTGCTGGTGTAGCCCACCGTCCAGGCCCAGCACCGGCCCTTACCTGGAAATCCGCTCGCCGTGGCTGTGGCTCCGGGCTGAGCTGGCACAGATCCTGCATGTGGGCTTTGCGAAGAGGATTCTTGCCCAGGGCGGCGCTCGGATCGCTGGCTGTGGGGACCCTCTTGAAAGGCTCGTGGCTGGCAATCTGATTGGTGCTGTAGACCCTTCGCCTGGAGGAGGATTTAGGGTCCAGCCCTGTTCGAAGGAAGAGCTGATCAGCAGCGGGACCAGCCAATGCCAGTCAGGTCTTTAACATCCCTTGTCTCGGGCGGCAGAGAGTGGGAGGCCCCTTCCCGCCCAATCACTCTCCCCAACTCCACAGAGAATCGCCCTGACTCTGCTGGGAAGATGGACCTTGGACGGGAGAGATAAACCAGGTAGGGAGAAGGACAACAGAGAGAATTGCACTTGAGAGACCCAGGGAAAAGAACCCTCCACACTGCTCATACGTGGGGCGGCCCAGGCATGAAGGGGCCAAGCTTTGGAATGTAGTACATGGACTTACGTTCATAGAGCGGCTTTCGTCCTGAAGGATCCCTATTCGAATCAGGGATCCCTGCACCCAGGACTGACATGCAGCTCTTCCTGGGATGGAACAGAGCCGGGACACTGTTGGAATTTGACTGGGCCAACAGGATTAATACCCTTAGCCTTGAGAAAAGTGCCAGGAACTTGTTAATGCCCCATGAGGTCAGGACCTTGGTTTTACGTCTGTCCCAGACTCCTTTCTCCTCACTGAGTGTGACTTTGGTCCTGGTTAAGGGACTGTTTTGAAAGAGTTGCACACCTCTGTCCTCTCCCATGCTGGCAGGTAGGTAAACATCATTCGCCCCATTCTGCTGATGGGGAACGTGAGGCAGGGAAAGGCAAAGTGACTTGCACAATGTCGCAGGCCGAGTCAGTGGCAGATCCAGGAATAGAGAACCAAAGAGTCTTGATTCCCAGGCCCCTAATCTAACCCCTCTCCCTCCCTTTGTGGAAGCAACAGGGCCTGGCCTGTCCCCAGAGGGATACACTCATCAGGCTGCCTAGTAGTGGGATGGGGTTCAGTAAGATCCTACATCAGAAATTGGAATTTGGCCCGATCCAAACCTTGCAGAGGGTCACCAAGAGGCCACGAAAGCTTTTAGTGCAGACGGTTTTGGCTACGAGAGGGAGCGTAAACATTGCAGTAATAATCCCAGGGCCAGAGCCCAGGATGTGCTGCAAATCTCGGGGGATGGCTATTCTCAGTGGGTTCCCAGTTCGATCCCCAGACATGTTTGGATGAAGCAGTCAAGCCAAATGGAGTCTCTGAGCTTTGTGTGATTTGTTGCCACTTCTCCAGAGACCCCTGTCACTTCTCAGAGATACAGCTGAAGGGGTGTTATCTGAAAGTGACAAACCAGTGGCTAAAGGCAATGATCAGGAAGAGGAGTGGGTGATGCTATCGGGTTTACAATAAGGAGAAACTGACCAGTATCTGGGTCAGATTCTCTCCTCAGTTCTCCACCAACCACCAAGAGATCAGGGGTCCGCTCTGAAGGGAGTCCCCCCTCAGAGTCCTTGGGATAGCTCCAGCTGTCCGAGCCAGCTCCCTCTTCCTGGGAGTGAAAGAAAACGGAACTGCCTGACTCCTGGGAATGCATCATGCTGTAGCGCCGCCTCTTGTCCTGGGGAAGAAAGGGAAAGAGAAGAATTGGGCTGGAATGCTGCATCCGCTCTGGCCTGCTGAGTCTGGAAAGGGCTCAGGATGTGCATGGAATTGGCAGTCTTAGCAATTCGTACATCATCCCCACACCTCTTGATGAAGTGCCTGGTTACCCCATGTCTAGGGCCCCTTCTCCCTTTATCCAATTGTCCCAAACCCCTTCTCCCTGACTGAAGAACCATAGAACTGGAAGGGACCTCGAGAGGTCATCTAGTCCACTCCCAAGCACTCATGGCAGGACTAATTATCTAGAACATCCCTGACAGGTGTTTGTCCAACCTGCTCTTAAAAATCGCCAATGACGGAGATTCCACAATCTCCCCAGTGCTTAACCACCCTGACAGTTGCAATTTAAGCCCATTGCTTCTTGTCCTATCCTCCAAGGTTAAGAAGAACAATTCTTCCTCCTCCTCCTTGTAACAACCTTTTATGTACTTGAAAACTGTTATCATGTCCCCTCCCAGTCTTCTCTTCTCCAGACTAAACAAACCCATTTTTTTTCCAATCTTCCCTCAGAGATCATGTTTTCTAGACCTTTAATCATTTTTGTTGCTCTTCTGTGGACTTGCTCCAATTTGTCCACATCTTTCCTGAAATGTGGCGCCCAGAACTGGACACAATATTCCAGCTGAGGCCTAATCAGTGCAGAGTAGAGCGGAAGAATTCCTTCTTGTGTCTTGTTTACAACACTCCTGCCTCATCCCTTCACATCCTTATGCCTCAGGCAATTACAGCTGGTGCTTTTCAAGACTGTTGGCTCTTCTTTGGCTTGTGTTATGTTTGGGAAGGCGAGGAAGAGAACAAAGCACAGTGGGATCAAACAACCGCCCCACCTTCCTCTGGCACCTCAGTGGTGCACAGCTGACCCGTGAATGGAAGTGGAGCAAACCACTCAGCAAGACACCCTGTCTGGTGGCAGAGTTTTCTGTGCATGTGATGAGCATAATAGCCCAAGAAAGATTCAAGTCAGGACCACCGTGGCCTTGGGAGAGCAGCCCTGCAACAGTATGTGGCTACCAAGCTAGGAACACCTGCTGATCGAGCTCTCAGCCACGGTTCTCTTACAACCACATTCACTTTATGACTCATATCTGAGAGACAAGTCTCCATACCGGGGAGGAGTGAGAGAGTGTGTGACTGGCTCCCCCACCACACCTGCATACACACAATGCACACACCCACACCCCAGGCACACTCACACATACACATGTATGCACACACACCATGCACATGCACACCCAAACACATTTGAATGCACAAACAAACATACATTCCCGTGGGGGCTGGGGAATGTGGCAGAGGTTACTTACAGCTCTGGGGTTAGAGATGTACAGGGACGTGTCACAGACAATGCCGTACCCAACCAGCCGGTCGCCAGGGAAGAGACAGCTGGCACTGACTGGGGAGATCAAGACCTCAGTGGTTTCAGGAAAGACCCACTCCACAGTTACATCGCTCAGGACGGGTGACATAGCTTTCTTCAGAGACTTGATCATCTGGCAGGACAGAGCACAAACCCATGTGGACTGTCAAACAGCAGAGGGGAGGGTGTTTGTGAACGAGTGTGCGGGCACGTGTTGTGAGCACGGGCGTGCATGGATGCCTAAGCGTGTCGGCATGCACCTGTGGGTGAGTATGTCAGTGTGTGACCATGCTGGGGGGTTGCACAGTGAAGATAAACAGACCTGCCCACCTGGATTTCAGAGTCGCCGATTGTCCTCTCCAGAGCCCATCACAATGTGAGGTCTTGAGTCTAGCTGACAGAACAGGCTGAGCGCACAGGGAGAGACCGATGGCCTAGCTGCTCTTGTCTCCTGCCTGCATCATACACATGATGCTTCAGGGGAAAGTGGAAAAAATCCACCCTTTACACATCTGGCCGATTGGGCAAACTGATTTTGGCAGAAATCCCCTCCTGCTCCATGAGGGTAAGAGACACCAGAGTGGAGTGATAGGGCCCTGGGAACTCACCTGCTACATGCCACCTGTCTCCAGTATTCCAACCCCCTCGGCATAGCGTGCAGGTGGTTTATGCCACCTGATCCTTCAGCTGCCAGACACCAGTCTGGGCCGAGAAAGCAACTTAGAGCACCCCTGAGGCTGCTCCAAATCGTGCCATCTACCACCAGCCCTCTGCACTCCAGCCAATTTCCTTTTTGCCCTGCCTAGCCCCCTACACCAGGGGCAACGAAACCAATCATGGGTGCATTTCAGAAAACCCTCAGTGGGAATTTCAGCAGATGCCTTTGCTGCAGCATAACACTCTGGTACCTTGGATGGCAGCAGGTCCCTGCTCTGCATAGGCATTGATCACACACACAGTGTGGAGTGCGCTCGAACTCTGCGCCATCCCTTCCCAATCTCCCCAGCCACAAGACACACTTGTCTTTCTCTAGAGAACTCCCTGGGGCTTTCCAAACAAGCCTCCAGTGCAGGCGCCGAGAGATCTCGGCACTCGGAATCAACGTGTCTTCACGTCTTTCCAAGGACAGAGAGCCATTCTCGCAAGCACACAAAGAGGCCACTGGTAGCTCAGCACGGGGCCAGCTGGGGTCAATTACACTCTATGTAAATCAACGTAGCCCCTCTGCCCTCTATGGAGTTATGCCAGGTTACACTAGCTGGAGATCTAGGCCAATATCCATGTATATATTACAGGCAAATCTATTGGAAAATTCTCCATTCGTCACTGCTTTCCCACTAGGAACTTGCATCTGAAGAAGTGAGGTTCTTACCCACGAAAGCTTATGCTCCCAATACTTCTGTTAGTCTCAAAGGTGCCACAGGACCCTCTGTTGCTTTTTACAGATTCAGACTAACACGGCTACCCCTCTGATACTTGCCACTAGGAACTGTTTTCCAGAGTGCAGAGAGAAGTTAAAAAGAGATTTATATACAGGGCATTTTAAACTTTCTATATGGTTCAATGTCCACAATACAGGATCTGTAAGACACACTAGGATGTGCTTGATGGGGCCATTAATTGATGCCTCAGATGGCTGAAGACCATCTGTATAACAAGTGAGGCCTGTATTAACAGCCCTGTAAAAAACCCCCTTCCTGTCTTGGGGCTTAATTTATAACACGGATGCTTGTGCTTCTCTGTCTCTGAAAGTGCTTCATGGGCTATAGGGGGAACAGGATCGGGCCCTTTCCGTGAAACAGTCATTACAGCTGGCATTGCCGACCCTGGTGCTAGGCTGGACTGAACCAATGGGAGCCTGTCAAGTTAATGCACAAAGAAGGGTGAATCTCGGTCTCCCACTGACGTCAGTAAATCATA